AAAGAGGAGGTTGATTGTGAGGCCTGTATGAGATGTTCTTTGACATAGGAGAAAGGTCTTCCTTGTGGCCTCAATAGCTTGGCCTTCTACACTTCGTGCTTTGGTGGACAACTTTTTTTTGCAGCACATACCACCTTTTTGGGAAGAGTTACATTCAGGGACTGGACTACATACAGTGGAAATGATAAAGCTGGAAGAAAATAGTGGTGAGGTCCTTTGAGTTCTCCTTTTCACTAATAACTTTCACACAAAAGGAGGCATACGGTAATCATTTTGCTAACATTCAAACTCAGAAACATAACCAGAATCAAAATGTCTTTCCAGATAACTAGATGAAAAGCTGGTAAGTAATTTGCCAGTACAACATACAAACCTGAGACCGATCAGTTCTGAACAGGAAAGTACAAGTAGGTCTTAAATGACAGCAAGGAAACAGCATAAATGTCTCCTTGTTCCACATTTTCACAAAGCAACAGGCTTGGTCACGGTGACAAGAAACTCAGGAGTGTGGTGTATGTAGCCTTACAGCTAGCAGAACACAAAAAGAGATCCGTGTAGTACCATGTGAATATACAATCTGATGGAGAAGTGAGTTTCTTCCAAATGAGATACCAGTGGCTGTCCTTTACCTGGTGGAAGGGTGCGGAATTCTTGCTCTGGGGAGTAGGGCCCAGGTCCAAGGGGTGTGATGGATCTCACACGAAGCAGGTAGGCTGTGTCTGGTTGCAGGTCTGTCAGAGTGACATTTGGCTCAAGAAGGTGCTTCACCGTGTAACGTGCTTCCTCTCCCTGCAGAAATCAAACAGGGTCAAGTGAAAAATACATGTTGAACAAAGAGGACACTTCCACCCCTTTGGGTGAAAGGAGGAAGAACAAATAAGGCAGGACGCACCTTCTCAAAGAACATGACCTCATATTCCACTGAGGTCCGGCTGCGCTGCCGTGGGGCAAGCCAAGAAACAGAAAGACTACTGTCATCTCTTTGTGTCAGAATAAACTGGGATACTGTCACTGGAGCTGCAGGGGAGAGAAGAGAGAATATTAGGAAGAAATAAAAACATAATGCAAGGTAGGCCTTCTCTCCACCAGCTCTCTCTTTCCTTCTCTGGTCATACCATGCAATTGGAACTGACTCTCATTGCCACTGCCACTCCCTCGTCTTTCTCTTCTGTGGTGAAAGGGAAATGAGGTTTCTGGTTGTAATTAATTGCTTTCCATTAATAGTATGCTTCTACCCCAACAATGAAAGCATAACTTTATTTGGCCCTCAAAACAAAATCAGCATTCCAAGAAATTACATTTAAACCAGCACTACACTGAAAGTGCTCAATTTGAAATAAAAATGTCAGGATTTTATGCTCTTACAGCAGCAGTAACAAAACTATCTATCTTATGCAATTCATGAATGCAGCTCCATTTCATAAGGGTGCAGTGAAATTCAATGCTCAAAATCTCTCAACTGACTGCAAATGCATGCTGTTCATGAATAAAAAGATAATTCTAAACAGTCTGCAAGAACTGAAGAGTCAAGCCTGGTTCCTCCCTTGCCCTTCATCATCACCAGGAAGTGATGAGGCAAGCCAAAAGCAGCTCTGCTTTTCTAGCTCACAGTTGTGCTGTCCCTGCATAGCATCAGGAAGAAATGTTGTATTTTGTCACTAAATCAGAACTTGGAGAAAGCGCTAAAGGCTCTTGAGCACTGTGATGTCACTTTTCTATGATCACGTTTCACAGCACTCTGGAAAGTATTCGCAGGACAGCCAAACTAGCCAGCTTTAAGTTAAACTACAGAAATGTTTACAGAACATCTGCATGTTTTTAACAACATCCTCATTTCTCCATGCTTTCAAACTGCCTCTTTTTCCAGTTACAGCAGGGTTCTGTTGTGCTTGGTCAGATTTTTTGCAATATTCAAGTCATGGGAAATATCTCATGCCACAGTCCCTGTTCTTCCTGTCACACAGGTGACAATACTTAGGCTGGACTACGCTAGTGTATGACAGGGAGGGCTTTATCTTCCTCACCATCCTTTGGTGGATTCATAGCTCTTGGTGGGTAATGATTACTGCTGCTTTGACTTGCAAGGACTGATGGACTTTACATGCCAGAGGCAAAGGTGCCTTAGAGGCCTTTATCATAGCATATGAACACATGTGGCAGGCAGAAAGAGAAGATGGAGAAAGCTTAAACATTCACAGAGATTCCTCTTCCTTTTCCTGATGAGCAGGAAGAATTTCTCTCTGCTTCTGCTAACCTGCATGTCCAACTGCAACCCAGACAGCTGGAGCAGTCCTCTGTGGAGCAGGTCCCATTCTTGAGACACCATTATGAGCTTCCACAGCAAATGTGTAGTTGGTGTAAGCTTCTAGGCCGTCCACATCCACAGCAGGTTTAGTGAGACCAGAAGCACTCGGGGAGAATACCACACCAGCCTCACATGGCTCACATGACAGGAAATGGCAGCGCTGACAGAAGACTGTGTAAGTCAGGTCCTTTCTCCCACCGTAGTCACTGGGTGGCTGCCACCACAGACTCAGCTGCGTGCCAATAAGGGAGAAGCTGACATTGCGGGGAGCTGAGGGCGGGCCTACAAGAAGTATGAAAGAAAGTATTAGATCCAACTGTTGATACCCAGAGCAGTGTGATAGTTTCCCATCTGCTGATGCATTTCAAAAGGAGCCCTCTGTCTCCCCAGCCTCTCCCTCTCTGACATCTCATCCCCATTTCCCAACGTTTTGTTTCCTCCCATCTCCTTGTTCACAAAATCACAGAATTATTCAGGTTGGAAGGGACCTTTAAAGATCATCTAGTCCAACCCCACTGCCACGGTGAGGGACATCTTTCACTAGATCAGGTTGCTCAAAGCCCCACCCAACCTGACGTTGAACACTTACAAACATGGGGCATCCACAACTTCTCTAGGCAACCTGCTCCAGTGTCTCACCACCCTCATCATAAAAGATTTCTTCCATATGTCCCATCTAAATCTACTCTCTCTCAGTTTAAAACATTGCCCCTTGTCCTGTCACTACAGGTTCTGGTAAAGTGTTTCTCCATCTTTTTTACACACCCCCTTTAAGTATTGAAAGGCCACAATAAGATCTCCCCAAAGCCTTCTCTTCTCCAGGCTGAAAACCCCAACTCTCTCAGTCTTTCTTCATTAGGAGAGGCGTTCCATCCCTCTGATCATTTTTATGGCCCTCTCACTTTAACAGGTCTATGTCTCTTTTGTAGTGGGGACCATAGAGCTGGATGCAGTAGTCCAGGTGGAGTCTCATGAGAGCAAAGTAGAGGGAGAGAATCACCTCCCTTGACCTGCTAGCCACACTTCTTTTCATGCAGCCCAGGATATGGTTGGCTTTCTGGGCTGCAAGCGCACATGGCCAGCTCATGGCCAGCTCATGTCCAGTTTTTCACCCACTCATCCCTAAATTCTTCTCTGTAGGGCTGCTGTCAGTAAGTTCATCCCCCAATATGTACAGATATTGTTCGTTCTTTCTATCTGCGACTCACGGGTGCAAGCAATGTTCTGGCCTTCCGAAGGTGCTCGGTAGAAGCCTGCATTGCAGGAACAAGACGTAGCCCCGGACTCATTGGATAAGCTGTTGGGGGGGCACTTCAGGCAGCGTTTAGTCTCCAGGGAGTGACGGTAGAATCCTCGCTGGCAGGCTGTGAAGAGACAAACAAGTCAACATAAGATCAACAAGAAACCAAGATCAACAAGAAGCCACCTGCCAGTTTTGTTCAGCTTCTTGAACACTCCTTTATCTGCTTGTTTTTCTTCCATTCTCTTAGCGCACAGAAATATTTAGGTTGGAAGGGACCCCTGGAGGTCACCTAGACCAATCATCTTCTCAGAGCAGATGGAGAGGAGATGCAAATTCAAGGTAGGATCAATGTTATGATAGGACTTGTAGACTGAAGAAGGCAGATCTCATTCCTCACAGATGCTGTATGAAAACAGAAGCTAGTCAACTTCAGAGACTTCTTTCAACATAAACCCAGACTGGTCCCCACCTTGCCCTTCAAGCTTTCCTCATCATATAGAAGAGCTATAAATAATAGTTCAAAGTCCTTGTACTCCTCACAGTCCTCTGCTTGCTGACTTCATATGGGAAAGTCAGTGGGCTTTATAGCAGAAGCATCTTTCCTGATTTCAAGTGTTGTACCAGAGCATCGCCTAGCAGGGCCCTGGGGAATACCTAGATAACTATCAGTTCACCTAACAGCATTGAGTGTAACTGGCTATGGAGCCAACACAGACTGCAAGGTGCCACATGCTCTCTATTTTCAGTCCTACAAAAATAAGCAGACATATCTTTCTACAAATATAACATTTGACACGCTGGTTTTGCTGCATTACTATTAGCTTGATCTACAGAAGCACTGGTCTGTCTACCAGTTATCTCAAGGTCCAATGCTTCACCTCTACAGGTGTGTAGCAATGAGGAAATAAGTGAGGGAGGTTGAAGTAACCTGTGAATTTAATGGTTTACTGGCCTATGTTAAATGAATCTATCAAATGTTTTTAAAGAAACAACCTATCACTAATCAGATGGTTGAGGAATGCATACACTAATTTTCTGCCATACCTATCATCTTGCGCTTAACTTGAGCATTGAGGGAATGACCTTTTTCATATTGCACTATAAAAGCAACAACGTTCTGTGTAATCCCTCAGGTGATCCCAACAACACCCCAAAGCCATCTGCTCAGGAACCTGACAAAAATGGCTTACTGTGGTGGAGCATAGCATAGGAAATAATCCTTTATCCAGAAGACAAAAAACAATCCAGCTATTCCTACAATGTGACACAGAGGAACACCTGAGGGACCTAAAAAAAAGTCCACTAACAAAGGCCAAACAAGACTCCTCACCAACAGTTTCAGGAAGAGTCATTATCCTCAGTGTACATTGAGAACTCTCTCTAGGTTGTCATCAGAAAAGTGGCTTCATCTCATTCCTATTGGTTACCCTTCTTGCCCTGGGATGGCAGGCAGACTGTCCCATGAACCATGGATGATGACAAGTGGCCTACCAGTTGCACAGTAACAGAATCAGTAAGGTTGGAAAAGACCTTTAAGATCATCAAGGCCAACCATCAACCCAACACCCCCAAGCCCACTAAACCGTGTCCCCAAGTGCCATGTCCACATGTTCTTTGAACACCCCCAGTGATGGTGACTCCACCACCTCCCTGGGCAGCCTCTGCCAATGTTTGACTACTCTCTCAGTAAAGAAATTTTTCCTAATATCTAGTCTAACCCTCCCCTGGCGCAAGTTTAGGCCATTTCCTTTCGTTCTATCACTAGTTACTTGGGAGAAGGGACCAACACCCACCTCACCACCACCCTCTCTCAGGTAGTTGTAGAGAGCAATAAGGTCTCCCCTCAGCCTCCTCTTCTCCAGACTAAACAACCACAGTTCCTTCAGCTGCTCCTCTTAAGACTTCTACTCCAGACCCCTCACCAGCTTCACTGACCGTCTTTGGACATAGTCTAGCAACAACATCCTTCTTGTAGTGAGGCGACCAAAACTGAATACAGGATTTGAGGTGTGGCCTCACCAGTGCCAAGCACTAGGGTACAATCACTTCCCTACTCCTGATGGCCACACTAGTTCTGATACAGGCCAGGATGTTGTTGGCCTTCTTGGCCACCTGGGCTCACTGCTGGCTCATGTTCAGATGGCTGTCAACCAGCACTCCCAAGTCCTTTTCCTCTGGCAGCTCTCCAGCCACTCCTCCCCACGCCTGTAGCGTTGCATGGGGTTGTTGTGACCGAAGTGCAGGACCTGGCACTTGGCCTTGTTAAACCTCATACAGTT